TGGTAGTCATTGACACTACAGAGGACTTCTCAATTAAACACTAAATAGGAAATGTGCTTTACCCAATGCTATTTCAATCTTTTGTAGTGACACTTAAACATCTATATTTTCAGAGAGGTTTTTCAGCATAGGAATGTAAATTGGTTACAAGAGTGGGCCCAGAGGCTTTTTAAAGACTCATACAGACTGAGGCTCAGTCATATATAATGTTGCAGAACAGCAACTTGAACTCTTCTTTGTATGTATGAATTCAGCAAAGGGAGATGAAAAGTCCGGGCTTTGTCGTGAGAAAAGTTGCTGAAAATATTAAAGAGCAAACATGCATAACCACCACTAGTAAATGATTAGTTGAATGTATAAAACTTGGTAACATCCTGGAATTCAGCTATTCCAGTTTAGTAACACTTGCCACAAGGTCAGGAAAGAAAAAAGGACTGGACAGATTTTAAGGATCCTGTCTTTTACATAAACTGCTATACACACGGCTACAGTGACAAATATGCAGGCTCTAGCATGCTGTACATTATAAAGCTAGAGAATATTTTAATTCTCAGTCTCAAACTTTGCAGTCCCTCCAAGAATTTCTAACACTTCACCTGTTTCAGTTTTTCAGTTTATTTTTTAGCAATTTTTATGCAAGTTATTTCAGTTACTGACTTGAACAATTTGTTCCATATCTCAACACCCATTTTTTGTTAGAAAATCATATAAGTTAGGAACCCAAAAATTGGATTTTTCTTTTGAGCAGCTGTTATCCACAAATATGGAAAGACTGTTAAAAGTGAATAGCATCTCTTTCTAACAAACTCTAGGTAGGTTTGATGGCTGTATCTCATTGTTCCATTACTGTGCTGTCTCCAAGCATCATTATGTTGGCATTCATAGATATATGGAAGAAAAAGAAAAGCTCTTTTGGGGTTTAAAGATGTGTTTGTAGAACCATGGATGTCAATGGTCCTTCTTCACTGTTGACTTGCTCATATGGATTTACATTTATAATTAAACAAAAATTTCTTAATTGAAATGTGTTCTATAATGTTTTGCAGAATATATTATTACTAGGAAAATAAGGCTAGAGGGAAATTATGTACAAAAGAACATAAGTGTTTATTAAAAAAAAACCAAAAACCAAAAAACTTTCAGTTTAACTGACTCTCTAAGTCTTTGTACCTGTGCTATTGGTGACTTGATGGAGACTAGATAGATTTCTGTTTCATTTATTCTGAAAAGACTTTCATTATAACTTTTATTTCTGTATTATCCATTTTTATATAGCACATTTGTTTCAGTGTGCTGACATTCCAAATCAGAGGCATCTGGTCTTTTGCATCTGCTGTGCCTCCACCAGGGTGCCACTATTAATGAGTTTTTCTTCCCATGGCTCTTGTAACAGTATCTTCTAATGGTTTCCACTTAGCTTTCTGTTGAGGATCCAGTTTTACAACATTAAATATTTGGCTGAATTCATAAAAGTTTTTAAAAGTATCTCCAGATATGAATTGCTTCTGATTTTGGTTTGGGGATTTATTGTTTGTTTGTTTCAGATCATTTCAGCTAATACTTTAAAGCTATTTAATTTTTATGTTTCCCAAAAATCGTATTTAGTGGTCTTTTAATTTGTATTCATCAAAGCACTTCTCTTCCTAGTGTAATTATCTGTATTTTTGTTAACTCACAAAATCAGTTTGTTTGATCAGTTTAGCTAGTCACAGAATATTTTTCTGAATTTGATAGTACTTTAAGTGGAGCTCAAGTGGTCCTGTTTATTTTCATGCTACTAGATCACAGGAAGGCTCAGGAGTGATGTGTTTTAGTAGCTACTTTTATCCAAGCTTCTATCAGGGTTTCTATGTGTACATGCAATGTAGATACCATGTGAAACATATATTTGCTAAATCTTTAAGATTGTACCAATTGGTCAATGTAGACCCACAAATGTTGTAGCAATTTTAAAATAGAATTCTACTGAATAAAATAAAACATTTATTTGGTATTGTTCTCAGACACTTTCTATTAAACCAAGGAAAAAATATATTGTTTTGAAAAATGTTGCTTTTCCATTATTCTGAGTGGCCACTTTTCTAAGAGTAAGAAAAAAAAAAAATCTGCTCTATAGGTATGTGTTACTGTCTACTGAAAGGTCTGAGAATCTTCAGATCTATTTATAAGAGTTTTAAGGTATCCTTCTTGACCTTTCAAAAATACACATTAGTACATCCAACAAGACTCACTTTAAAGAGGCATTTTTAGTCTTCCTGAGTGTCCAGTTGAGGAATTGCAGGTCTTGGGGTTAAGGTGTTTTGTAAGCCCTTAGGCACAGGGCAGCTCCATTCACTCAGTTTTGTACTGAGAAAATCCTTCTTGAGCTCTCCTTACCTATTGCTTTTCCTACTAAGTTTCCTATAACAGCAACTTTCTTCTGTGGTACAAACACAGCAGTTAATGTCTAGTTGGAGACTCTGACTGGATCAGATAAATCCTTTTATTTGAATATATCCAGTATAAAAAATATATTTAGTAAACTTCAGGGAACAGAGTCACTATCGGCATAGGACTTTACAATCACTTGATTTGGTTTTCCTTTTCTGAACAGTAGGGGAAGGAGAGAGAAAGGGAAATATTACTGTGGAAGACACAGAATTATCTGGGCATCTTGTTTGTGTTTTAATGCTCCTTCTGCACAGTCCATTTTGGCAATGTGTGTAATACAGATGTTCAGCTACAGTGGGACTGCTTTTTCTATTGCAAAAGTCATGTCATTCATTAACTTGTCTTCCTAGAAAATGGAGTTTAGAAGGCACATAGATATCTAGAGGTAGTAACTGCATCAGTAGATTTTATTTCTTTTTCTTGAGTGCTTTCAATAAGGAGAGACTTCCCTTAATTATGCAAGCTGCTGCTTTAACTGCATGTCTCTGTATGCAATTCAATCAGTATACAAGTGAAAAAATGCCATCCAAACTTTTGGGTTTAGAAAGCCAGTTATAGTAGACTTTAAAGAACTTGTGATACAGAAGTTCAAGGCAAGAATTTCCCAAGGTGTAGCTAGATGTGTACCTTGAAAATTACCTTTGTTCTTTAAGAGTTTGGAACTGAACAAAAGGAAACTCTGTGTAGCTTTTAGCTTGCTTTTGATAATACACACTGTAGTTACAGGAATTTATATTATCATGCTCTTTTGTTGATCTTATTGAACAGAAAATGATATTAGGCCTTTATTTGTCACCTTCAACTTGGTAAAAATTATGCAACACTAGTTTCAAGTTGGAGAGTCAAATTCGAGATCAGACTGCAGGTCTTTTCTGTCCAGTACAGTCAATGAATAACAGCTTTTTAAAATAAAGTATGATTATTTAGGAAAAAACCCCACCATTTTAAGGAGCAGAAAGGGGAGACTTTTACAACAATAGAATACTCAAGACACATAGTCAACAGCCCAGTGAGCATGTTAACAGGTTATCTAACCAATGTCTATGTAACAAGCCTGAAAAATAAATTCTTCTGAGGCCATTTTTTGCCAACTTGATAGCTGGTATAGTGTACCTACTGGCTATCTGACAGTATACTGTTCTGTTCTGATGACTAAAAATTGTGGGCAGAAAAAAGTAATTTGTTTATAGTTTTATAATAAATATTGCTACCAACTCCCAAGACTGGGAAATCTAATGAGCATCGTTTCTGGAAACTGCACAATAGGGAGTTGAAGTTGATAAATTTGGTCAATGTCTTTAAATACATACTTGGATGCTTCTCATCTGAGAAACGATTTTACTGATTCCTTGTTTGCTCTTCCCTACTCCTTCAAATTAAGTTAAAGTAATATATGCCTAGATCTTATACAACTTACTTGCCTTGAGTTTTCATTTTCAGATTGCCTGGGCTTTATCTATTTATGTAACATATAAATTATTGTGAGTGTTAATTATTTTTCTGCTAGGTAAGGTGTCAGAACAGAAAAAGTGACATCAACAGTCTTACAGTGGCTTTTAACTAATAGATTAAACAGTCTTGAAATATTAAAAACCAAACATTATTAATTAGACCTCATGATTTACTAGGAAAAGCCTGTGTAATCTGCTAAGATAGTAAACCTCTGGATCCCTTTCCCCACCCACGACGTGGGGGAGCCCAGCTCTAGTTCCTTCTCCATCTGAAGAACCATTTCCGACGTCTTGGTGGACGGGGAAGGGGGACTCCATAAACAGGGTTTTTCAGGCCCCGAGCCTGGAGGGGAGAGGTGCCCTCCCCTCCCCCCAGCACCCACGTGGCTCCATGGCAGGCACAGAGACAGCACACCGGGCGTGGAGAGGAGGCAAGAGAGAGTTTATTGTTGGGAAGGGGTTTATAAAGCTTTTAGGAGGGTCAAAGGGGAACCAATCACGAGTTCAGGGTCACACAGAAAAAACCATCAGGTAAAGGGTCAACAGCCAATAGGAAGGGGTTAAACAAAGGACCAATGGGACGCCTCAGGACACCTTTCCCAGGACATTCCTGCATGGGAGATAACAGTTGTTGTGGGGGGGTGTTGGGAAGAAGAAACACGTGTTTGCAAAGAGACCACAAAGAGCCATTTTAAGACATGTTTAAACAAGTTTCTCATCAGATTCACTGCTACATAAACCCTAATATCTTTCTTTAAAATACCCCGTAAAATCTAAAAGAATATCGAAAAATAGTGCCTTTCTAAAGCTTTATACAGGAGAATAGCTTATCCTGCATAATTTGATGTGTTAAAAATGAAGAAAGATTGTCAATTTTATTAGTCTAGTTTTATAGGTTGATTTTTAATTATTATTACAAGTTATCCTCGGTATTTTTATATAAAGAATAAGAACAATATTTAGAAGGTCTAGACATAATTCTTCATAATATTTGAAATAGCAAACAATCTTTTTGCTTTAAATTAAGCAAGCACAAAAAAAAAAGTCCCAATATGTGGTCTTCTCAACAGTTCTATATGCTTTTAACTTGGTTTTATTTTTGTATTTGTGTTCAACTAGGCAATACTACAGGATCTGGAGCAAAGACGTCCCCAGCTGGATGAACTAATAACTGCAGCACAAAATCTGAAAAACAAGACGAGCAATCAAGAGGCCAGAACAATAATTACTGACCGCAGTAAGTGGCGATTCTTCTATCATATGACATTTCAACAAACATGGAAAATGTTGTAATATCTAATAAGTGTAGTATTTTTCAGATACTTTATGCCTTTGCCATGAAAAGGAGAGTTCCATCAGGAGACAATTCTCATACAGATTTTCCAAATTGCATATAGAGTAAATGTCAGTGAAAGTCAGTGATCCCATGTTTCAAATTTTTCACCTTCATTTTGTATTGCTTGTCTTCATAGTGGAAGGACATTGTATGAAATATAGAATGTGAGCACTGTAGATAAAGAAATACATTTATTCTTAAACAAGGAGAAAGAAAGAATTCACAGAATATAGCCACAGGCTCGAAAGAAGCTTTCAATTCCATCCCCCGTAGTACAACTGCACGCTCTTCTTTCATCTCCCCTCAGCTGACGCACAAGTCTGATGATGCTCTGCATTACTCTGTATTATTTCTTCAGTTCTGTTTTCCCTATCCAGAATTAACCAACTAGCTGTGACTAAGGTGGAAAAATTGGTAGATTAGGTTTTAGAAGTCTATAGAAGACATAGTGTTATTACCCTTGGATGCTTGCACATCTTTATGTCTCACACTGTGGGATGAAACACACTCTCAAGGTCGTGCTATAGAAACAGCCCTCTGTGGTGGACTGCTCTATATATCTTCAGTGATTATTCTGAGTACTTAGGACTAAAAGCTATGAAAAATGAATTTTTTGTGGTTTTCGAGGTCTGCTATGGAGCTTAGGGAAGACCCAGGCCAAATGCTTTGTGCAAACTGTTCTGTACATCATGGCATGGTAATCAGGGATTGCTCCCTGAGACTGATGACTGTGAAGGTATAAACGTAGACTCAACTTTTCTGTCCCCATAATTAAAAATTAAATATATCTATATACACGTTATCTCTTTCTTTTTATTCCATCAGGTAAATACATTTCATAATATCTCAAAATCACATTGTGTGTTTGGACTGCATTGTTGTCTGACTCACATATGGATACTATTTAGACCATATCTTATGTAAAATAACATTGTTAAACTGCTTTTCTCTTCCTTTGCCATGAGAAGAAAACATACAACTGGGAGCGAGAGAAGCTGTGTTATAACTAATGTTTGAGAAGAAAAGGATAGTGCTTATTGCATAAGAATCTGTTCCTGTTTGACATGCAAATGAATGTTAGAATCACATACTCAGTTAAGTTCAGATGAAGTGTGTACATATACCTTAACTTTACAGCTACAACCAATGTAGCAGTCTTATCAGTATTTTCTAGGATGTTTTAATTTTTAGTTATGAGACAAGTCTTTAGAAGATAATTGTAGACTTACATGAAATGCAAGCATAATTCCTATATGCCCTCGTGTGAATTGTATGCATGACTAAATTTTGTTCTGTTAGAAAACTGCACTTCATTTTAAGTGAAATTGCCTTTTAAGACAGATTAAATGTTTCTTGCTCATAAAGCAAAAAAAGGAGAGCATCTATTTATTGGACTGTAAATCATGAATGAGTATGTGGTAACACAACTATATTACAGCTTGCATCTGTGGCTAGCAGTGTGGTGAATATATTTTACATGATACATGATTTCTTAGTTTTTGTCTATAAGAATTCCCGAAATTATCAATTAGTTTTGAATTTAAAGTAAAAAATTCAGTTTTACTGTGATTTAGTAATTAATTTTTTATGCTGAAACTGTCAATATCCTTGTCTACAAAAGTGCAACTTATGATGCATTAGATACAGGTCATGTCCCTTTATGTTCTTTCAAGTACATCTTAAAGTATGATCGGGGCCATTTTTGATCCAGTCTTCTGAGGCAGCAAACTAGATTCATTAAGGTTTTTCATGATTATTTACTTTATATTTGTAAATTGTACGTAATATTAAATGCTATTCAAGATGTATTTATTACTTTTAAATTTTAAGATCATGATATTTTTATGGGGGTAAAAAAGATGCTAATGGCACATAAGGTGTTTCTGAATATTTGCTACATATATTGTCATCTGAATATTTGCCACATATACTGTCATCTAAAGTATTTCTTTTAAAGGACAGTAATTTTTATATTTTTAATTGCATGACTTTTTTCCTCTATATATCAGAGAAGGTGGAGATTGCTCTGTTTGGTTTGAATTGGACCTTGCATGGAGGTCCTGCTGCAAGTCCTCTCTGACTACCTCATCCACAGACCATTTCCCATTTCCTGAGATTTTCCCCTGCTCATGAATGCTAATAGATTACATGGTTATGTTTTAGCAGTCATTAGTACTCATTTAATCTATTCTATTTCATGACCTGAACACCAGCACTGTGCCATTGGTGCTCCTCTGCAGCAGCTGTGTACCACTCTCACAACCAGCCTTCTGTACTGACACACTGTCACAGAATATGCCAAGCTGGAAGGGCTCCACAGGGATCCATTGAGTCCAACCCTTAGCCCTGCACAGGACCGTTCCCAAAAGTCACCCCATGTACCTGAGAGTATTGTCCAAACACTTCTTGAACTCCATCAGGCTTGGTGCTCTGACCATTTCCCTGGGGAGCCTGTTCCAGTGCCCAACCACCTGCTGGGGGAAGAATCTTTTTCTAATATCCAACCTAAACCTCCCCGACACAACTTCAGGCCATTCCCTTGTGTCCTGTCACTGGTTACCACAGCAAAGAGATCAGTGCCTGCCCCTCCTACCCACCTCACGAGGAAGTTGTACCTGCAATGAGGTCTTTCTTCAGTCTCCTCCAGTCTGAACAAACCAAGTGCTCTCAGCTGCTCCTCATACGGCTTCCCCTCGAGGCCCTTCACCATCTTTGTTGCCCTCCTTTGGACACTCTCTAATAGCTTCATATCTTTTGTATATTATGGTGCTCAAAACTGCATCATCAGGTGCCAGATGCGTCAGATCCCATCACAAAGGGAAGGGAATTCAGGCCTGCAATGCATTGGTCTGTCACGTAGGAGCTGATAGGCTTGACTATAGCTAGTGCGCTTCTTGGGTGGAAGCACAGGATCTCACACTTTGAGAAATGAAAAACTGAGAAGATGAGTTAATTTGTATGACTCGACTGTTCATTGCCTTTTGTTATTAAAGTAATAGAAAAAAACCCTAACACAATCATCTGGCCAATATCACTGAAGAGATATATTATAAATATTAAATGAGACTCAGATACTCAACAGGAGTAGAGTTGGCTGCATTCTTCATTACAGGATGTATTTGCATGCCATCAAATGGAATTAAACTCTGAAGGTTATGGCTTTTGTGCTAACATTGCTAACTCTTAAGTCATTCTGCTTGCAGAAATATGAATATTATGTTTGTGAAAGTCTAACTTTGAAATATATTTAGAAAAATTATTTCCTTTGTGAAGTATTTTTTAAAAACAAACAAGGTAAACATTTTATACAAAATGAAGAAAAAGGCATTTGTTAGAAAGTCCCTATGAATTGCAAAAAAAATCTATAGTAATGAGGTTATTTTCAACAGAATTGTCATAGTATTGCGTAGATTTAGTCTTTCTTTAGGAAATAAAACCAGTAGTTAAAGATGAGCTCAAACAATCTAATTCTTTGCTTTGAACCTTCTTTCCCCACCCTTACTCCATTATGTGCATGAAACTGTTGGAGCTATACTACTTATAAAGACCTTGGCTCTATGAAGGCTCTATAAAGTAAATATTTTTTTACTTTTGCATAATTTTATACTTAAATCTTTGTGTATTCTATGTATTCAATTCATAATTTGTTTACAACTTATACATTGGAGGATACACAAGAATAATAATTACATTTAATCTTGTGAAAAAGCTGTGGGAAAAAGCTGTGGGAAAAATCAAGATTCCTCTCTGCTCTTTTAATACAGAATCATTCTGTTCTAATAGAACCATATGCTGTACAATAACATTTTTCTCTGCACAACACGTCACAGCTCCAAAACACTTTGCTTTACTACTAATGAAAATGTTGTTTCTTTAAAATGAATGGGTTTACAAGCAACTTTGAATTTAGTAGTAATTAAAATTTGAAAATTGCTCTTATTTTCCATCAGTTTCTATGTATAAGTACAGAAAGCTGGTAACAAGTCCATGTAGAAATATATTGAGAGATAATACAAACAAATTTACAGTCTTAGAATCAGAAATACCAAAGCAATTACAAAGACTGTCGCAGATTTTGATAGATCCTGGAAATGTAAGAAACTTTAAATAGCAGGTCTTCCTACTGCTGTGTTCACACATACGCAAGAGATAACAGTGCATAAACTTTCTGTGGTTTTACTTTGCTAGTAATTTACATCCCAATTTTGCTAATGTGTTTTCTGGTTGTGTAAGTGATAGAGGAGGTAGGGAAATTAATATTTATAGAACTGTATGAAGAAATAATCTCTTACTGACCAAAGAATCTCCCTTTCAAGATTATAAACCAAAGTAACACACATCTTTCTTCAGAAATTGTGTGAAATTTAGTGTCCTCTCAAAATACCACTTGAGAAGTTAATTAATTTTTATTACACTAAATACATAAATAATAGCAATAAATACAAGCATTTCAATATACAAGCATTTCAGTGAAGACTATTTTGATCAAGGATTATGCTTTGGGACCAAATGATTCCTTTTGAAATTTTCTTTGACAGTTTTAAAAACCAAGTCCACAAATACATGAATAATTTATAGAGGATGTCTTCAGAAGAGGTATTTTGATTTTGTGGTTTGTTTTTTTATTTGTTTGTGTTTAGTTTTTTCTTGTTCATTTGTTGGGTTTTTTTTAAGAAAACCTTTATGCTATAATTGGTTGTTAGCAGAGCTGCATTTGAACTAATCTGGAAAGAGTCTGAGTGTCTCTGTGCCACTACATAAAATGCCTTTATTTAGTAGTTTGCTGTATTTGACAGTTTTATGGCAAAATCATCAACTTGACATCACTTTCACTACAAAACGTACAGAAACTCCGCAGTGAATTACAGCTGTACTGTTGTTCTTGACATCTTAATAAAACA